TTCGGCTGAGTATAGAGGCATGCCGGTCTGTGGAAAATTGCTCCCCAGCATGTCAGTTTTGGCATTATAAAGGTTCCTGATTGCAACGCCTGCCGATACTGTTTGAGGATGGCTCATGACCTTTCAGTTGCATCGGAGACTTTTCAGTGCAGATTTCAAGATGACTTTTAGCGCCTTTTCTATCCCCACCGCGAGGAAAAGGGCAAATATGACATTTTCTCCTGAATCGGTGTAGCTCTCACAGAGTGCCTCTGAAAGTGCCCATAGACCCGAAGCGATATTCCTATTGTTACGACGGCTCGTGTGTACCGTGCATCCGTTCGGTCTGTCCTTTTCTATGGCTAGGAATGCTGGGTTCTGCGCGTTGAAGATGGAAGATGGAAACTAGAGGCAGCTGACCTTTACTTCCCGAGGACAATCCTTCGGTTAAAGTACACCAAATTTATCTCAAATAAAACAGTCCACACTCGCTGCGACAACTCAAGGCTATCCCAGGCCATCCAAGAAAGAGGACTGAGGTGGTTTGGACACATTCTTCCTTGTTAACCTCACCAGTTCATCGCTACTGCCCCCGATCCGACACCGTTACCCAATTGGAGACATGAAAGAGAGGATCAGCTCAAAATCTGGCTCGAATCAGTCCGTCAGGACGTGAAAACAGCTCCTGGACCTTCTGTATTTGGTCTTCGGGGCCGGCGAAAAGAATAGATTGAAATGCCCAGATCTGCTGCCATGGATCGTCACGTGAGGAGAATTGGCATCCGGCACACTATTGAGGTTGGCTAGATCAGTCATGATTGCAACCGTAACAAGCAGAATATTTTGTTACCCGTTGTTGAAGATAGATATTATAATGCCAACTTCTCGTAGTTGACCGACGTCAGAGAGGAGGTTCACTCATCACGGGTGAGGCTTTCAAACTGGCCGGACACGGTACCAGTCCATGATTATCGAGTCTGGGGCACAGAATGTACTCTGTACCACCTCCACTAAGCTAGTAGAGTCGTTGGGCAAACATTTTACGTCATATGCCAGAGAGTAATCTCTTTTAGCTGAGCAAAATCAGCATAAACCTGTTTTTGTTCTTCTGTCCCCAAATTAGGAGGAAGCTGCCCATCCTGCCGGGGGGAGGGGGAGGGAGTAAAAAACGAACGCCATCGCCGTGATGAATTGCAGTTCAGTACAATAGAGGTAATGTCCTTTATCTAATCCCACATTTTAATCGCTCTCCCCCTCCCTCCTCGCCATCTTTACTCCCGCCTTTCCCTGTAGCGAATTTTTCATCTGCTAACTCCTTACCCGACTGCATCGCCCCGCCAACAGAACTCATACATCGCGGGGCGGGCAGGGGGTGATTCGGGGATTGTTCCTGTTTGAAATAGCTAGCAAGAGCACTAAATTTTTAAATTTTCCTCGTGCGAGATGATTTACTGAAAAATGCCATTAGTCCAGCCGGCTCAATCTTGTATGCCGCTCAGACAAATCTGGAGACAATACCATTACTTGTTAGGGGGGAGCAGGGGGTGGGGATTACGCTGAATAAATCTATTTTTTTTTCGCCCTATGTCTCCGTTTATGGGCAGGTACAGGATGCTTTTTCTAAAATGTCGTCTTTTTGATTTCTGAAAATATGGTAAAAAGGGGAATTGTGCATTGCGTTTGTACACACCTAGTAGGATTACGCTCTATTGGGGTCGCATCGTACAAGCAAACCATTGGGTTGCTTTACACGGAGCCGACAACTGTGACTTTGGGGTTTCATCCTGTGGAGAATTTCTTCTTTGCCAAACAAATTCGCAGTCTGACAAGGGCCAACATTTATATTCCACGGTTGGAAGCAGTGTGATCGAATTACTTCCTCATAAGAAAACTAAACAAACTGTGCTCGTAGATGGCTAAACATGACCTCAGTTTTATTTTTTGATGAACGCCAACGACGTCAGCTTCTAAGTGGCGTTTGAAATTAATTTCTGTGTTTGATATAGATCAGTTTACTCGAGGTCTATAGGCGTTAGGATAAATTACAACAGAAACTTATACATAAGTCTGCCCTTTGACAGCACGTGTATGTTACGCGGTTATCCTGCAGTGCCTGATAGAGTTCGGTTCAAATGGACACATTTAAATTTTGGTCTATACTCATAAACCTTGAATAAAGTGATCTATACAGAGAACAGAAATTAGTTCCCAAGGTAATAAAAATCTGAAATTCCAATCTGCAATGTCTACCCGAAAGCCCACAGGAGGTGCTGAGGGACCCATTGATGAGCCGGACCACTCGCAGCGGCAGAATACGGGCGAAACAAATGTCTGAAACTTTTGCTAGTACACCTGTTGCCACTATGATAGCTTAAAATATAAAGACGCTAAAACCTTTATTTATCTGTTCTGCTATGCGAACCTAACTGAAACAGTGGAATATTATTAGAGAGTTAAATCCATTATGCTGGCACAATAAGTTACAAAGCCAGTCAACTCTTTAATAAGGATATTTTGGCAAACCTTAGCGTGAGAGCCAAGCATTTACAGTAGATGAACTAACTAATGCTATTTCGTGAGCAAAACTTGCGTTGACATTTTACTTTACTTTTGGTCCTGTTACTGAGTGAATTCGATGCGCATAAAAACCAATACAGCTTGAAAAACTATTCGTGGACGTGAAATCGTGAAATAATCACCTGACCTTAAAAGCTAACCTGAAAGGAATTGAAATGCAATACTATAAATATATATGAAGACATTAGACAGCATAAAAGTTTTTAAATATTCACAGAATGGTATGTTTACGATTTCACCCGACAAGTATATTTACAGGGACAAGGACAGCGATTTATCATGTTTTCGGGATTTGACGCCTCTTCGAAAAATTTGTTATTTTTAAACAAAATATTAGTACATTCCATTATAAGGCTCAAGATTATTACTTATTAATTCCAAGCTTTCGTACATGCGTAAGTGCTGATTTACATGGGATTTTCAATAATTCGTTTCTTCACACTTTTAGAATTTGAGGTTCTTCTTAAACGTTGATATTTTTAAACGAACTAATATTAATTTTTATTCCCTTTAAATTTTAAATTCACCTAAGGTTTCTCATTATTATTTCCGAGTTTTCGAAAATGCATTAATGTCGGTTTACGATTGACTATCAGTCTTTCGTATCTTTCGGCACTTTGCCTCAAATAGGTCACATAGCTGAGGCGCTAAGACCTCGTTGCTAGCTTAAATTGTAGTTTGTAAAAGATCCCGTAGGGGGGTCAAGACGTCACACAAAAACAGCCGATTAACTGACCTGCATTGGGTGTCATTTGGTTTGCGATCTAGCCGATAACGAATGATACAGGGGTCCATGGTTAAGGGCATAATGTAGCGCCACTGGTTCGTCATTTTACGGTTTAAAATGTCGCAAATTTTTTACTAATCATGCTGCCACGAAAGGTCTGCTTGAAGACAGTATCAATGGTGCAGAGCCAATTTGTGAACTTTAGATCCCCCCAGAGACGAATCCGTATTCACACCCGAAGCTGCTTTTCCCGGCAGGTTCTGGGTCGACTCAAGAATACCGTAAAGCGAGATATCATGCCAGAAGCGAGTCACAATAAAGCCCATACAGAGCCGAAGAATTGTCTGTATAATTATCTCCGGTGTGTAGTCTTCCACCTTGTTAAACACCATCGCCGCCAAATAGCCATAATCCAGTCCTACCAAACAGGGGCCGAACACGTGAGTCAGAAGTTCGACAGCATCTTCAAACACCTGGGTCCTATCAACCGAAGTGTCTCCATTTTTGAGTCGAAAGGCAACCTCCTCATGACACCAACGCTGGAATCGTTCCATTATGTAGGCAAACGTGGCCGTTTGGGCTGCGGAAGAGTGCACCAGACTACCCTTTAATTCCTTCGAAAGTATTTCATAGGTCACCGCCCTACACATACCAATATTCGGGGTGACTTTAAAGGGCTCCTTTCTCAGAATCTCGCAGAGTTCTATGGAGGCCAAAAAGGGCGGTAATTCCAAGCGTAGGAGGAAGAGTTTCAGCATGATACACAACTGCACCGGATTAGCGTCATCCAGCGTCTTGAGAGAGTATGGCGAACGGAAGGCCTGGCCGTTTACCAACGTGGACAACATGTCTTCACATTGGCTCACCGTCTCTGGCAGGCATCCGTTTAGGAATTTCGATAACGGCGGTAAACACTTATCCAGCCTCTCCATAATGAGAATGATGATTTCGGGAACTTGGAGGAAGCTGGATTTCTGCATTTGTTTGTAGGTTAAACTCTTTGGAAAGCGAGTGGAAAGCTCCTGTAGGTGGAGTACACCACGGGGTAGACGACGTTTGGCTGCGGAGTCTTTATTGCTACTTTTTTCCTCAGATTTGCAGCGAAGTATGGCTTTGCCTATGGGCGGCAGCATTGTTCAGCCGGGAGCTGGCCGCGTGTAGCAGAGCCCCAGAGCGTACGCAATATCGATCAATTAGCATGTGACATAGTGCAGTTTAAAGGACTCGCCACGAGGATGCGAGAAAACATATGGCTTAGATTTTGCGAAATGCTGGCAGTTTGCCCACTAAAGTGTGCCATTTTTCGTCTTTTTTCTAGAGTAAAAATTGTTTTGGACAAGGCCAGGAAACAAGATGGTAGAAAATGCGTGGACAAAGACGAAGGAGTCTGAGATAGGGAGTTCGGTCTAATTCGACGTTGCGCGCAAGACATACCCGGCATACCAGAGGATAACTTTACTGACTTTAGGAGAAGTAAGTTTGGTTCAAAACCTCGAAATAGACCAAGAAAGGGCTTGCGGAAGCTCCATATTCCACACGGTTATCTTATGCACAAGAAACCCGGAAACTTGCAGCTGCTAACCAAACGACCGCAAGACACACGTTTCTGTCTGAATCGGAAATTTGAATTGCTCTGTAAAATTCTCGTTCAAATAGCAACCAATTGGAACGTAGACTTTACAGAACTGCCGTGTTTTCGATTGTAAACATGGAGTAAAATCCCACCTTCTACAACAGCAGGCTGAAATATTAATGAATATATTCTGCATTCAAAATGAACCACTGCTGGGATAGGACATTAAATTAGCTGCTGCAACTATTAAAACCCAAGCTGGGGTATATACAGTGTTTATAGGTCATCTTGGAAACGTCAGTAAGAGAAATAACAGGTTGACATTTTGCCCATGTGCCTAACCATGTCAGCAAGTGTGAACAAATGGAATAGGCGCCACAGGCATCTGTGTTTGCTCAACGGATGGGCAGCATTTTCACAAGGATGGATCAATGGTGGTGCTCCGAGCTACAGGCGAATCGTAGCTTCAGGCCTGGTGGACCGTGGAACAGTCTCTGACAGGGTTCGGCTGAACAGGCGCCCAGATTCAATGAACAAGCAGTCGTTGACGAGCTCCAGCAAGGCTACCAGAACGCTGTTGAATGGAGACTGGCATGTTGACTGCCTACAAGAGACTGTAAAACCCGTTTCGACCGTTCATTTAGACGACGCCCGCTTTATGCATAAACTTGGCGGATAATTTTAACCAATAAACGTGCGGCATGACCGTCCATTATATTGGCGGGCGTTTTTATGTTTTTTTGTCGTGAAGAGGTTCCAAAAAGTGGAAGAAAACACATCCAAGGCTTCATGTAAGTTGTAGTGCATGTGAATTGAAGGTGTGCGCGGCTCTTCGTGCCGCGGACTATACTACACTAACTCCAGAACGGTAAGTTGGACCGCAGGTAATTTCAAGTAGACGA